CATCCGCTGGATAAAACTTGATTATAATACAACCCGAGGCAACGCTTGTCAATGTGCCCACCTATATGGAGAGTTTACCATAGACTTTCCTGTAGGTGCTTTATACATGGCATAATCACTGTAAGTGAAATACACAAAATTGGTACATAACTCTCAGTATCATCAAACATTGTAAATGTTAGATAGATACTGAGTGTTATGTATCGATTGTGTGTATTTCACTTATGGTGATTTTGCATGAATGGACAATGATAGGACTTAAACTGGTTAATGATGGGTGGGATTGTCTATTAAATATAATTACATGTTCTTTCAAGGACAATGGAACATTGTATAATTTAACGTCTCAATAAAAAAAGACTGCAGCTTTTTTTTTTTAAACATTTTCTATTAAGCTCTCAACCACTGCTTATCATCATGCTGCTCTTCAAACATTTATTATAAGCTTATTTTAAAATTAGGCCTACCATTTCTTATGTTTTAACAATATGTTTCAATTTGAAACATAGTTTTGTCGTGGTCTTGACTCTCTAACGTCACTATTAGTCTTATGAAGATATGAATGGCTACCTAGTTCGAAGCAAGAAATCAAGTTGTTTTTACCAAGTACTGCATGAAAACATGCCACTTACCAGAATCTGGTATTTCTTCAGTTGTTATCCATTTTTGAAATTATTATTTCATGAAGTGAAAACACTGCTTTTTAACACGTCACTCATGTCAATCTGCCTGCTTACCAACATACTCTATAAAATAAACAAGATTAACAAATTTTAAAAAATAGAAAACTACAAATTTACAAACGACACAACATATTACAGGGAAAGATTCGGCCCGGGGATGGGAGGGAGGGGCGATCAAAAAATGAAAATTATGCTAAACTATTGAAAATCCCAGAATGCGGAACTAAACCCTATTCAATTGTAAAATTAAAGGTCACAGTATTTTAAGCCAACTTAATGAAACTAATATGTTGTCATGTAGGATTGATGAAATTGTTTTGTGATTTGTGATGTATCACAAGTTAAATATTTTAACCATTAAGATGAAACCATATCAGTAGACAAAAAAGACAAAAAAAAATAAAAAGATTTTAATTGTGATCATAAAGACATAGACACTTAAACTTGTTTACTTAATAACCAATCATGACAAGGCATTTACATGTTGGGTTAGCACATGTTTAAATAGAGTAAAGAAAATAAAGTAGAAATCTCTTTTGGGACACAACTTCAGAGGACACCCTTTTAAGGGGACACTTTTCTGTGAAATAAAGGGAAAATACAGCTTTTAACATTATGGCCAGCCCCGATTTCAAATTATGAAATGTGTAGGCTGCCGTCACCGTGACCTCTGACAATTAGTGCCTTCAAATTTTAAAAAACATAATGCAATAATGACATACTGATTATTATTGTATATTTTCAGTATATATTACAGCCGCTCAGAGTTTCTTTCCTATTCTTCCTTCTTCCTTTATATTTTAAGTTATTTTATCCATAATTACAACAAATTACTAATACACATACATTTATTAAGTTTTTAAATATAATATATATAATAATATATGTTTATTTGTTCTAAAATTAACATAATTCAATCTTTGATCAATTTAAAGTCGGAGATATGTCCTGGTCTCGACTACCTTAGAGTCACTCTCAGATAGGCTTGTCTTCATTTAACTTCTATGAATGGATACCTTGTTCAAAGCAAGAAATCAAGTTGTGTTTATTTATTGGTGGGAAATTTTCCCTATAGAAATGATGAGGTACAATCTAAATTCAATGCAATGCAATGTTGTTTTTCGTTCTTTTCTTTTAATTTCGTCTTCGTATGACCATAGAGTGGTATGGCATACCGTATGGATGACGAGGATAGCATGATTGTTTATATAATAATTATTTAATTAATTAATTAATAAATAATATGAATCTGAGGAAAGATTTTAATTAGAAATTTAGCAGCGCAACCAGTAATGCTAGGTCTAGGTCTGCAAATGTTCATTTCGGGTTTGGTCATGTACATTGACCCCCCCATCTCATATATCAATACCCCTATCCCCATCTTCTCTATTATTATATTATATTATATTATTATTTCATCAAGTGTAGTAGTTTTAGTGAAATATATCCTAGGTCCGTAGGTCACCTTAGTTAGAAATAAGCATATGTAGGCCTAGCTAGGCTTACTTGCCCTCTCTCGGGGGAGGGGGCGTGTGATAGAGGCCGTTCTCCAAATTATGACCTCAATGACCTTTGTGACCTTGGGCATAAAAAAATCGTCATAAATACAAAGCATAATTTTTTTTTCTGCAGAAAACAACATATTCCACATAATGCGTAACATTTATGAGCATAGGAATTTTTTTAGTGTGGCAGTGTACAGTAGGCTTACATCGCAGATGTACAGTATCTGGTAAAGTAGGCCTATCAACAATACTCTGTGCAGTGGAATTCGTATTTGAATAAAATATCTCAGATAAGCAATGACACATTTAATATCAAAATATTGTTTGATTTCTAGAGCAATATTATATAACTTAATAATGATCTAATATGGATTTTTGATATATAAATATGTTCAGATTAAAATAAGAAAATTTAGTTATTAAGGCTATTTATAATTTTGTCTTTTTGTATTGTTTATAATATAATGAATACTAATATTTGTTTTAATATTCATGTTATTTCAATATGTAGCCTTTATTTCTGAATAACATTTCTATTAATAAGCATTGAGGGTCGGTTGACTAAAAAAAAATGATACTTAATATTAATTTTTTAATTAGTCACATTGAATTGTAATGAAGTTTGTGGTTTATGAAAATGAAAAAAATACAATTAATTTTTCAATATAAGTTTATAATAATTAACATAATTATATCTGTTCACAACAGTTTAATAATACAGAATAAGGATGGATAATGAATTATTGCAGTAAATTAATGGTTTTCGATTTGATGTTTGACATACCTTAATAATAACAATAATATTAATAATAATAGTAGGCTTGATATGAATAATAATAATAATAATAATAATTTACTAGAGTATGACCTAGATAATTTATTGTGTAAAAGATTTATTGTGTTGTGGTTATTATTTTTTACTAAATAAAAAAATGTTTACTGATAACTATGAAGTTTAAAAAAATAATAGGCCTACATTTGATCACATAATTTGCAAAAAAAAAATGAAGAGAATATTACATTATTTAATAATATAAATTAAAGATTTAATTTGTATTCTTTGTTTTGCATAATTAAGCCCATGTTATGAAACAAATGTATTTTTGTTAAACGAAATTGGTTTTGAATTGTTTTATTTTTTAATTTATTAATTTGTATATGATATGGTCCTACTAATTTTATATAACAGCTTATGTAACAAGGTAAATACTTCCCAGGCCCCCTTTACGGGTTCGTTGAACGCCGGTGTAGAGGGTTGTTAGAGCGCAAAAAAAACACTCTGTATGCATAGTCTTCAACACATCTAAGCTAAAGAGACAAAAAATAGGTTGAAGAAAAAGTTAAAAAATAATTATAGGTCTTACGTCCTAACAAAGGTATGTTGAACGTAATAACAACATAATTATTTCTTAGGGTAGCTTTGCAAATTAACTCTAAAAAATTATAAACAGTTACATGCGAAAGAGTTTTGTTTACTTTTACGATTTTTATATATTGGTGCGAGGGTGCTGTATATTTACAATTCAACAGCATTTGTGCAGAAAATAAAGTCATTCAAAGTTATATAATTACTAGGATTCTATATGGTATCTCAGTGAATACAGCATCTATAAAGCCTATTCCAATAAATATATCAACGTATACTTGAAAATTTTATTATTAAATTAGTTTATTTCTATAAAATCAAATACATATTTTCAAGAAATTTTGTTGCTTTGGACTATCCTAAAGAACTTCATGAAGTAGCTGCTGTCTTATTGTAATAAAAAGCGTGTTTTAAACACTTAATGTCGCGATTATGTATGTAATGAAACAGCCGTGAGACCTATCCTTTCCCCTAGGCCTATAGCCTACCTACCCCGGCTAGCCAAGGCCTATGCTGTATTAAAAGGTTGAAGATTCACTAAGTTTGAAGAACAATTGTTTCTCTAAATTCAGCCTTGACAAACATTTTTTCTTTTGAAATAGTGTAAAATAACATCTAGGCCATAAAGAACAATTAAGTATTCAAAAACGTTGATCTTGAAATGATAAGGTACAATCTAAATTTTGTAGTGCACTTAGCAACATTCGTTAATGGCGCTAAGCAAACTAAACAAAATAAAATTAAACTCAAACAATCAGCAAACCATTAAAAACATCTGGATTCTGGACTTACTTTTAAAACATTGGTCCAATTGTGGATTTAGCAGCAAGCAGTAGGAGATTACATTATGTGAGATTTGCTGAGGTGAAACCCATACATATGCTATCTAGAAGTTGCTTTTGCTGTGGTGTCATTTCAGCAGTTTCCTGATTTTTGCAGTTTCAACTGTCTGATAATGAATATTCATTACCATTACATCATTGTAGTGAGACCATGGTCCAGTGAATTATGCAAATGAGTCAACTAGCAAAGAGCCTGTAATAAAAAAAAAATGATATTATTATATTGTAATTATAACCAACAAATATTAAGACTTATATTAATAAAAATGGTGTAAAAGTACATGTGTATTATTAATTTAAATATATTAATTCTTAAATTATATTATTTCATTGGGTTTGTATTTATATTATATTCAACACCAACATCAGTTGGATAAAACTTGACTATAAGACATCCCAATGTAATTCTTTTCAGCCTTCTCGTACAGCATTCTGGTAGCATGGCTACTTCCATGCTATCAGATTGAAGTTTTGTGATACTGGTTTTTTTTTTTTTTTTTTCATAATTGTTTTCTTATTCTTTAAACTGTGATATTTCTTGTGAGTTATTTTTCTACTTAAAATGTTTACGTTATGTAAAATTTTAATGTAATTCAGTATGCTAATGAAGATGTTTTAATAAAAAATGAAGAAAAATTAAGATAAGAACTATGCATATAACTTAATTTTTAATTGAAGATTGGTGGATGATTTCAAAAGCATTATTTTATTGCCCTGTATGGGTAGAGAATGGAAAAATTAAATAATATTTTAAACATAATAACTTTATATAAATTGAACACCAACACTAGTTTGATAAAACCTGACTATAATATATCCCATGGCAATGCTTGTTAATGCGCAGACCTTTCATTTTGCAATGTTACACATTGTAACATTGCAAACGCAATACAGGGTTAAGATAGTATAATACACACTCCAAGCACGCTATCGTGTCGGGATTCAATATTTCGAAATTAATTATGTCATCATCAGGAATGAAAAATTATCCATATTTGTAAGCTTATATGCACAAGTACCAAAAGTGATTGACCAATAAAAACATTACCCCTAGTAGGTGACATAGTTATGAAT